TTAAAGTGAGAAACCAATTTCCATACCCACACACACATAACAGCAAGTACAACTACAGTTACCTTCCAAGTCAACTGCATTCTTTAACCTTTAACGTATGGACTTTTAAATTGCCGGCAGCCCCCTATGGCCGGAATTTAAATGGCCCTAAGTCTTAAACATTGCAGACTTTCAGGAAAAATTGCATATTTTCCATTCCATGCAACATAGAAATATTAACTGAAAAGAACCTGAAAGACAATAAAATTTTCTACATATACACAAAAGAGCAAGTTTTACCAATGAAAATTAACTGTCATTATTTTGTCATGAATTGCAAAATATAATCTTCATTATATATATGTTATGAAATTCCAAAGAACTTACCCGTTGTTTTTTCTTCAACCTTGAATCATGGTGATATTGTAAATATAATCACACTATATACAATAATATTTTGTTCAGAATGTACGCGAGTTTGAACTGCGTCACTTCACCGTTTACAATACCTCACACTCTGACGCGCGTGTGCCACTTCAAGAAGCTGTCCACCACACAGAGTGCAACATTACACTTTTTACAACAGTAGAGCATGCTTCTGCTTTTCTTATTTTCAGAACAAACATGACAATGTCTTTGCTTCCCTTTGGTTGGCCAGTGTTTTGAATGTTTCACCTCCAGTCGACTCAGTTGGGCCTCCCCTGAGAAAAGCCACTGACCATGATATTCACTTCATGTGATTGTAGAATCAAATCCCGCACCAATATTTCGCAGAACTTTTTGTGCGTCATTTTTCCACCACACGACTTGTGTAATAAATATGCATTGAGAATAGTCATATCTAGAAGGTGGAAAAACAATTTCTTTGTCTACTTCCATGTCCTCCGAGCAATGCCATAACTGTTTACCAGCCTGTCAGATTTATCCACAAAGCCCATGTGTGCACTGTAGCCTTCAATTACATGGGGTTTGACAGCATGGCCAGATTCATCTCAGAAGTTGCCTTCCAATGGAGGAGGGTGCATATTCATCAGAACATATACATCACGCTTGTCTTTCCAACGACAACACTTAGATGCCCCTTGACTCTTGTAACAATATCCCCTTTTTTCAATTTCATTGACTTGGGCCAAATTTCTTGTGGCATTCCACGCCTATAGTTGCGAACAGTGCCACATGAATTTATTTTCCTGTCTAAATGATCGTCAAATAATGCAGGAGAATTGAAATAACTGTCCATGTAAATTTTGTGTCCCAAGCCTTCTACTCTTCAAATTAGTTGGAGAACAATGCCATGTGTCAATGTAATTTCTTCTGTCAAAAGTTGCCTTTGTTTGCCTAAATAAACTGTCATGTCATAAGTATAGCCAAGAAAATCACAAAGCTTGTAAATTTTTATACCAAATCTTTTGCGTTTCTTTGGAATATACTGATGAAAAATCACTCATTCTTTGAACAACACTATGACTTCATCAACAGCAAGACGTTCTCATGGACTGAAAAAGTTCACAAAATTTGTTGAGATTGTCAAAAATTTTTCTAATTTTCCAGAGCCTATCATACTCTGAGTCATTTCGATTTGAAGGAGCTTCATTATTTTCAAAATGTAGGAATCTCAAAATATGAAGAAACGGTCTCGTACCATGGTGTTACGGTAGTATGGAGTGTGGTATTGCTCATCTCTTGACCAATAATCTTTGTGGGTGTCCCGTTGATCATGGCCCATTTCAATTATTATTGCCAAAAAGTAATATATATATATACAATTGTAATGTCAGGCGGTTGAGCAGAAGGGCCTGGACCATCTTGGCATGCCATAAATTGGTGGAAATATCTGTTGGTTTCTTGTAACAAGATTTGGAATATTTGCTGGAAAAACAGAATGAAAATGGAAAACGGAGATGACTGTGCATTTATATTGGGAGCAGCTGATCTGTTGATTCCACTCGGAGGACCAGTGAAGTCTAGTACCTTTGGCAAATCCCCAGGTCTTCTATCACGAAACCTAATTTCCATTTCCTCTGCCTCTTTGTCTGATGATGATGATGATGATGATGATGATGACGACATATTTTCTCGAGGTTCAATGAAATCATTGATATCTTCTAACTCTTCATAAGATTCCTCTTCCATCAATATTTCCTCCAGTTCTTCTGCATTGAGAAGTTTGGAATATCGGGCACGTTTTTGAGGTTCCATCTTGGGGGAGGGGGGTTTTCCAGCAAAATCGAATAAATTATGTTGATTGACTAAGACTCACAAAATTGTGATCCAAAGTAACTGTAAGAGTACGGTACAAGAGGCCAGAAGTGGCCGCAGTACAAGGGACTTAGTCCCACCCCACTAGCAATAAAAAATAATAAAATGTAATAGTAGTCAAAAAGGTGCCAGTCCCACACTGATATGGAAAGTCACAGTGACAAAGATGCCTTTTACTCACAAAGTAACACTGGCTCAGTTGGTTTATACCTCTTCCGAGACACAGAATAAAAATAATATACAACGAAATATATGACAGTCGGACAATAACTTTTTAAGTGATGATGAAATTTTACACAATCCAACACTGACTTCCTAACTGATAATTCACCACTGAAATACAATCCTTGAATACGTCACACTTCCTTGAAAGCTCTGGAAGCACTGATCTGCAAGTGCCGATGAATATTTCCTCTTCAGTTCTCAGAACAAAGCTGGGCTATATTTGGCTGACCAGGTCATAAACAGTCATATATAAAAACAATTTCATTGTTCAGAGCTAACAAATAAACCTGACATGAACTTGCGTGCGTTTGTTTTGGTTTCAAACCAAGACTGAACTATCAGCACTCCCAAAGAGTGTAAGTGTCATGGGTTATATATATATACATACATATCATTTGGCCAACACGGGTTGCTGCTTGAGGCATATATATATATATATATATATAACATTCACCCGTTAAAAGTTAATGGCACTTGAATGGACACAACTAGAAAAATTAAGTGCAAATTTGGAGGACACATGTACCTGAGGAAACATAAACT